CCCCACGTGCTTCATATCGCGGCGGGGCGGGATCGTATCGTGATAACGGGATCTGCTCTCTCCCACATGTGGCTATTGTGAATTAGGCTTTCGGCTTCTGTAATTAACTGGTCAGGCGCAGAACAGACGATAAGGGTTGTGCTGCTTGCTGCTGGAGGAGACAATATATAAAAGTTTGGCCGGTGTTTCTTTTCCTGTTTCTTGGAAACAGATGTGATTTAATGTCTTTCCTACTTTTTTTCTTACATACTGCAACGCTGGAGATATAAAACTAATGATAGCTGGTGTGGTGTTGTTGACATAACCAGCAATTATATTGCAACATTAATTCCCCTTGCCCCTTCTTTCTTTTCTTTAGTAAAAATAGACTGTTTCATTTCACTTGCTTTATGCATGTGTGGTGTGTAGCTGCTCTGTAAAGGATACTCTAAGTAGAGCCTGTAAGAATGGACTCTTTCATCTGTAGAGTGAAAATAAGATTTCACTGTCTCTAATATAAACTGTTTTTCCTTTCTCTGTTACTCAACAACAAAAATCTCCAAATCTGTTCCCTTGACTTCAGATAGGAATTTGTGGCCTTATTAACCTTACAGATGAATCTCCCTTCTAGGCTTCTCCACTGAATGCTTCTTAGTAGTGCATATGTATGAAGTACTAGAGATATTTATCATTTACTTACTGGTCATATACTAAAAACAGCTATTAAGCTTAATGAATGCTCTGGCAGATTCCTAAATAGCTAAATAGGATGTAGTATTTTGACTATTTACCCATAACCTACAGTTTCCCAAAGAGTTTTAGAGCAAAAAAACTTAAATTATTTAATGAGTGTTGCAACTGTGCTTCAAAAGTACCTTTGATTGTGAGTGATTCTAGTACATACATAAGACTAGATCAATGAATTTCTGGATGTAATGTGTCCCTTAGCCCTTAAGCTGGGTTGGGTCATTGCTTTGGTGTTGTGGTTTTTTCTTTTTTTCTGTTAATAATAGGTCATTTGCACTTTAGAAATAGTAGCACTTTAGTAGCATAAAACACATACCTAGGAAAAATAGTTGAAGAAATTATTATTGCTCCAAGGCTAAGCCTCTGCCTAATTAATAAGAGTGGTAGGACTAAACACCTAACATTGCAAGAGCACCTTTTTTTTCCTTAGTATAACTGTATGTTGACTTTAAAGCTATGTTTTCAACTATAATAATTTTTCTTTATTGTTAAGGGACATTTCAGTTATTAAGATGTAATTGCTGAGTAGTCATGAATGTTTTCATTTTAAACACAGATATGAATACTTCAGATTTTAAGTACATAGGAAGTTTTATGGTTTTTGTTGGGTTTTGGTTTTTTTTCCCTTTCTCTCCAGGAAACACATGAGGAGCATGATACTTCTACTGAAAATGCAGATGATTCTAACCACGATCCTCAGTTTGAACCCATAGTTTCCCTTCCTGAGCAAGAAATAAAAACTCTGGAAGAGGATGAGGAAGAACTCTTTAAGATGTAAGTAAAATATTTCAGTTTATTATCTAAATGTTTATTAGGCTTAAACTTGAATGTGTTTATATAAAGCTAGAAAACTTGTTAGGAATTTCTGGTAATCGAAGTTGGTTGGTATTTACTGTGGTGACAGAGGTTGAGAGCAGAGTTGATTGATAATAATGCCCCAAGAAACTTTGAAGTCTGGAACAGGAGAAGGGAACTAATAATAGGAATCTGGCTTTAGTATTGTTTAGCCTAAAGGAAAGCATTAACTTGGATAATAGTTAGAAGTTTGAAATTGTGTGATCACAATATAAACCACATATCTTTGGGGAAAAAGATGAGGTGTATGTAGTGTGGCTGCTGCACCTCCCCAGTTGTAAAGGGTTGTGTATGATATACTGAAACAATAATAAGCAACAGATGCAATACAATATTGGGGCATTTGTGGCACTACTTTTCTGTTGTCTTAAACATAGTTTTATCCTTAGTTTGGGCTTATTGTCAAATCAGGATCGCTTGTTTAAGGTGTATGATCTGCCTAAAGGAACATGTAGGCTGAGGAGTTAAGAAGTGTTTTGAATTTGATTCATGTGTTTGCTTTAAATAGGTTAAATTACTTAAATCACAGAAGGGTATTGTTCATCCAGAAGAGAGATTTGAATTCTCCTTGTACAGAGTCTGTTAAACACTAAAGTGATGGTCAGTTTCTGACCATTAGGCCTCTCTGCATATGTGATGTGCAGCATCAGATGGAAAATTTAATATTTTTTTTAAAAAAAGGGGTGGGGGAGATAATAGTGTAAGTTCCACTGCTCTGTGGATTCATTTTTATGTCTACAAAGGGGTGAAGGAGAAAAGGAATCATTTTTTTGAATGCTGGTTGTTCTGAGTGCTAAACTTAAAGGAATCACTTACTCAATATCAGCTGGACTCAGAAGGAAGGACTTGCTTTGGACCAAAGTAGTTCATCTGCATCAGAGCATCTGTTAGAGTAACTTGCTCCAACATCTAACACCTTCCCTTGAAGGACCTGGCTTATTGCAAGTCCCTATCCCTTGCTCTTTTATAGAAAAGTATGTTTATATATATATGGATATCCTGTAGTGTGGGCAGGTGCTTGCTTTCCTATAGCAGTTTCTTAAACTCCTCCTCGCTAGCAGAGCTCAGACTGTCTCTTGGGTCGGTTTTGACTAATGTCCCAAACTACTCCTGTTTCTCTTTTGGCACACTGGCATCTTGGAAGATTAAGCAGTGATGTTCTGAAGCAGGTATGTTGCACTGCAGTGCAGCACTAAGCTTCCTTTATTTCTGATTTAAGAATAGCAACGGCTATGTTTTGGGAGTTAAAAGGAAATGAATGACTCGAGAGGGTGAGGCACTTTGTTAACAGTTGACCAAACATTGGGCTTGGAATTATGCAAGAGTCTTTACTTAGCCTGAAGCTGCTCCGTTTCTTGCATTAATAAATGCTTCTGGTTAGATGGCTCAGTTGTATTCATAGTATATATAAGTACTTTAGCTATAGTAAAGCCCGTTATTTAGCTACCTTAATTTAAAAGTTTGCCTACACCAAATATGTTTATCACCTCACAGAAGTGTGTCCAGAACCTGTTGAATTTTAGTATAGCTATTACACAATTCCTAATTGTTTGTTATTAAATTTTACTTTATCATATCAGTTTCTAAATTTGTGAACAGGGAACCTTATAAAAGAAATTGTTTTCTTTCTTGTGTGTGGCCTTTAAGAAAAAAAACCAACCTGTACTATTCAGTCGAGTATGCTGTTTTGACAAATATTTCTACATGCAGCCTAACTTCTTAAATTCTCTCTTCTTCAAGGCGAGCAAAGCTATTCCGATTTGCATCTGAGAATGACCTTCCAGAATGGAAAGAACGAGGAACTGGTGATGTAAAACTCCTGAAACACAAGGAGAAGGGAACAATTCGCCTCCTCATGAGGAGGGATAAAACCCTAAAAATCTGTGCAAACCATTACAGTATGTTGTACATTGCTAAACTTCTTATTTTTGTTTCAAAAAATAAACTTGTAGAATTGTACGTTGTAGATTAAGAGCTCAGTGGCTTTCTAGTAGCAGCTAGAGAATTGCTGTATGTTCTTTAAACAGGCGTCAGAACTGTTTAAAGAACAGTTTATATTAGACTGTAATTATGGTTGTCTCTTGCTCTGCACACAAAGAAAGCTACAAGCATCAAAACCAATGAGTGCTTATTTTTATTAATTGACAAAAGCTGTAGTTGGTTTTGGTGATTGCCTGCAAAAGGCTCAGTCTTAAAGTTGCCTTTTTTCTTCAGGCTCTGATAGAGTTCTGAAGAAACTTTTAAACACACACACACATTGGAAGCAATCACGTAATGTCTGTATCCCAGCTAAGTTTTAATGATTAATAGAGTATAGAAAATGTCAGCCTTAGTAGTGTTTGGCATAAGAAATTAAAGTGTGATGCCATAAAAGAATGAGAAATAAGCAATCCTGTAATAATTTACTACTCTGAGCAAAATGTCTGAATTTGTAGAATTGGCTTAACCAACAGAAAACAGATACTGAGGTACAAAACTAATCTGTGGCTGCCTTTGCTTGTGAAATGAACTTGATATATTCAGTTAATTCATTCAAAAATAATGTATTGAGAGCTGATGGGGCAGGAGAGGTTTGTTCCTTTGATACTCTTTGAATAACAATATACATGAAAGGGCAAGACAGACTTGAAAGTCAATACTGCTAGCACCAAGTAGACTAATTTGGTAATACTTTGTTACTTGCTTTGGTAATACTCCAAGTTTTTATATGAAAAATGTTCAGTAGAGTTAAAACTACATTTAGATGACTTGAAATTTGTTTGAAGTTGCTTAATATAAATCTGAAGCCAGAAGCAGTAATGCTTGTTTTCTTTGGGTAGATCTCTTCAGAAAGTCAGACTATTCAGAGGACACAGGTGTTCCTGTTTAGTAAATGAAATGGCAAATATGAAAGCAGTGTAGTCACCAACCAACAAAAATAAACCTTTTGTTTAGGAAAATAGATGTTGCACATATGCAAAACAGAATTGATAAATTTATAGTGTTCGTGTCAAATGGTTTTTTCCTAATTAATTTCCCGAATTAAACAAGGGATGCAGGGCTCAGGGAGGAAAAAAAAAACCCTGCTTAAACTTTGCATGTGTGCAATGTAAAAAGTCTCAGAAGTGTGAGAAGCAACATTCCAACTTCTCCAGTCAGTGACATGAAGTAATTAGAGTGTCTTGAAGGGAAGGGGCTCCATTTAATGGGGAGGAACAAATGGACCAAAAATACACTGTGCACATCTTCCAGCAGTGCAGAATTCTGTAATACCTTGTAGTAGAGCTTTAAACTGATGGGAGAGAAATAAGCCTGATTTGATGACTAATTGTAGGAGTAATGCTTTTTAAAAGTAATTTTTTGTAGTATGTCTTTTTGGTGTGCAAAAGAAGAATGAATGCTGTTTGTCTGGGTGCCTTTTCCTCCTAAACCCTTTGACTGTTCTTAAGAGTTGTGCTTAGTGACTGCATTGCTCTTTAATATTGCAGTCATCTGTTTTAAACCAGAATTTAATAAAACTCTCAGTTTCTTAACAATAGGGCATCTAGCATTCTTTTTGTACAGTAATGGTCTTGCATCATTTTATTTGAGGATGTAAGGAAAAAATATATGTGGGCAGTATTGTCTTCTATTTATCCAAAAGTAATTCTGTATAAAGTGCTTTACATAACCATTGCAGTCAGTTGGCATTAAGACTTACGGAGGCTGGTGTGGAAAACATGTACTATTATGCTGTGTACATCTTTTAATGCTTTCTTTTCAGTCACACCCTTAATGGAGCTGAAGCCTAATGCTGGGAGCGACAGGGCATGGGTCTGGAACACACATGCTGACTTTGCAGATGAAAGCCCCAAGCCTGAACTTCTGGCAATCCGATTTTTAAATGCAGAGAGTGAGTGGCCTGGCACTGAACTTGCATTGATTGTGTGCTGTTATGTTACACTATGTGTCTAAACACTGCTGTGAACCACTGTTGTAGATATGCTGTATCTTACTACTGCACGGTCGTGTTAGCTGGTTACTGCTTTATCTGAGAGAAGTCAGTTAATTACTTAACCATATGTGTTAACAAACAGTGTAATAATTTGATCTTCAGTGATATTTATAGAGCTTTCTGCCCTAGGCACTTTTTTAAACTTAAGCCATTTCATGCAAGCGCAATACCAATTAGAATAAAACAAAAAGCAGTAATACAGTGGGGTACAGATTAATATATGCACCTTGCTTTCATTTATCTCAGGCACTCAGCTGTAGTTAAGATTACATTTTTGCATTAGAAGCAAGGAAATACTGACCTGAGATTTCTAGTCCAACTGAGTTAACAGAACATCTGATTTATTTTCTTTTAATGAAGTATGTAGTATCTTATTTGTTTTGATTAAATGGAACACTTGGTGAAGAATGCTTGTCAAATCCAACTATCATACCAGTTGCTGGGTTTTTCTGGAGTGACTACACTGACTACCAGAACAGAAAGTAGGTCTGTAATTACATATGGATCAGCTGGTAGGGCTGAAGGACAGTGTAGATTTACTAATTCCTTAATCAAAAAAGTGTTTGGTTTTTTTTTTTTCTTCCTTGAAAAAACAAGCAAAACGAAAGAGGAAAAATGGTGTTGCATTTGCTGTCTTAGCCATCTCTTCTCCCTGCATGCTAGATGGCTAATTAAATGGCTGTGTATTTTAAAACTAAATAGATTTGCCTACATCTGGGAAAAACTTAGTATATCTTGCTTGCTTCCTTTTCCTCAAGTCTCCAACATGATATTGTTTAGCCAAGTAAAGCTTTCTGATCCACCCCCTTAGCACTTCTTCCTTAATCAAGTATGAAACTGAAAGGTTTTGGTAACAATTTGTTCATCTTTGAAAAATCCTTCCCTCTTTCTGGTAGGGGTTGTTCAACTTGTTGAGTGCTTGTCTTTGCCTGTTTACCTTTTGCAGTCCTGACTAAGCAGATGACTGGTGAACAGACATTAAGTACTTGCTCTTCAAGTACCTTTCCTTTTTGAGATGCTTGAAAAAGAATCAATACAAATACTTCCTGGGCTATTTTTAGTGGCTTTTGAATTCCTGTGGGTCAACAGTGACCTCATGTGGTCAGTGAGACTAAGTTGGCATACCAAATTACCTTCTTTCTAGTTCTGGTGTTAGAAAGTGCTTTGTCTGATCCACTTTGTCTTGTTGCTTGTATTACAAGCATTCCTGATGCTGAGAGCCCTAAGTTATGGTAGGGTTGTGGAGGTCTTTTAGGGTACAATGTAGCTGACAAGGATAGTAGTTCAAAGCTGATCTTCAGTCTTTTACACACAGGTAATTGTATTAGTAGCAGTCTCTGATGTATTCTCATTGCTGTAGGCTAGGGACAGCTGGAAGTTGCAATAACTACAAAACAGCTCCTTCTGGAATTATGTTTTAAATATTTTTCAAAATAACTTGCTTAGACTTGCTAAAAAAAAAGTGTCTGTGCAAAGATGTGATTCAAGAATTTTGCGAAGCCTCTTGTATGATTTTAAACTGGATTACTTCATAAGTGCCTACAAATGCCTTACACAAAACTTTTCCTGGGGTATCTTTCCTGAAGATTGGAAGTATTCAGTGTTGCAAGGAGGTAAAACTAATGAAAAAATATTCTATCTTTACTGAAACAGATGCACAGAAATTCAAGGCAAAATTTGAAGAATGCAGGAATGAAGTAGACAAGAGAGCAAAGAAAGGTAAGGTTAATAGTCTTAAGTGTTAGCTGTTTGAGTGGTTGTGGCCCCCTGGACTATCACTGTGTTTTAGCAGACTCACTCTGTACTGAACTGCATTCTTCAGTTCAGGTGCTTTTTCCGTCTGCGAGAGTAACAGCTCACAGGAGTGCCAGTCGCCTTCTTTCTGGTAGAAGGCTGTTATATTGCTGTTGGGACATTGCTTTTTTGGAAAGGCTACTACAGAAGCAGTTCTGGTCTATAGTATACAGATGAACTGTGAACGCTACAACCACAGTTAGATTTCCTCCTTCCCGTTCCCCTTCCCAAATTCTACAAATATATAATCGTGCAAGTAGAGTAGAATATTTAATTTTTATAGTTGTTAATGTGTATGAAGTTGTAGCATTTCTTCACAGGTCTCTATTTATTTAATAGATTAATGCATTACCTCATAGAATTGCCTCTGTGACAAGATATCTTGCCACAGAAAATAAACACTTCCATCTTTCTAAAGAACAGATTATTAGTGGTTTGCAGTCAGTGCTCTTCAAGATACTGAGACTGGAATTTTTCAGTCTTAAGAACTTCCTGTTCCCCAGTTTCAAACTGTGAGGGAACTTGACTTTTGGTTTTTTGCTTAAGATAAGAAGGAAGCTGGGTACTTGAGACACTTACTTGACTGGACCCTGTATGGAGTCTGTCAGTGGTAGTAGCAAAGCTGACCAAATGTTACGTGTTTCTCAGTCACTATGATCAGGCACTCATTTAGTGATTAAAATATGCAAGTTGTATTTCTTGAATTCTGACATCTGAGGTAATTACCAAAGAAAAATAAATTAATCACTCCAGTGCTCACTGGAGAATTTGTTTACTGTTATTCTTACTCTAAATACCAGCCCTCTCTCCCCACTCCTCTCACCCTCCACTTCTCTACTGTTTCCTCTGTAACAGGAAAATCCATTACTGCCTGTATGTAACTTTTTTTTTCCTAATCAATCTCTTTAGCAGGCACAGACAAAATTGATAATGCTGATAAAGTTGCTGAAAAACTAGAAGAGCTTTCTGTAAAGGAAGAGAGCAAAGAATCTGAGAAGAAAGAGACCAAGGAAAAAACTGAAGAAAAGCAATAAATCATCCTGGGCCTTGCAGTTTTTCCTTTACTTTTTTCTTTCTTTCTTTTTTTGAGTTGTTTGGAGGTTTTTGTTGTGTTTTGTTGGGGGGTTTTTTTTGTTGGGTTTTTTTTTTATTTTTACAAGGGACTTTATAAGGAACTGAATTCAACATTCAGGTTGTTTTTTCTAAGCTTTTGCCCTTTTGAAGATGTCTTCAGAAAATCCATTCCCCAGTCATGAAAATGTACTGTGCTAACTTTCTTTTCCATAGTGGAAACACTTATTTATAGTCATCCAAAAGAGTGAATAAAACAAACTTGAAAACAGCATCAGAGGACAGAACTGAGTTTTCTGTATACTTCAAAGGCTTATGAGTACTTGTTTCATTGGGTGTTGAGATACATATCATCATACCTGTGGATTAACTAGGTTAACAGACTTTACCAACAGAGAACATTAAGGTTACGTATATATTTCTTACATGGCTTCTAAAACTGTAAGATAAAAGACCTTTCATGCTTTTTCTGCTGTGTGTTCCTGAGCAGGGAACGTGCCTGTGATTCTTGAAATGCAGCAGATTTCTGGAATCGGTGATAGAGCATTCCTGGCACACTATTAATGATGTTCCATCAGACAGTGAAAATAAAGGTGAGGAAGAAAATATATTATGTGAGACTAGAGAAGTATTTTCCTCTTACAAAACAAAATCACTACCCCACTCCTCCTAATTTGTTAATATTACAAGTGCTTGACTCTAGCACAAAGTTGTTGCTGTGATCCCAGATCTTCCATGATGTGCTACTTGCTGACTGAAGGCAGTAGCAGCCTCCTAAACTAAGTTGTATACAAAGGAATCTTAAGTGCTTGAGTACCTTACTATGAGATTCCCTGTGTCAGCATATCATAAAAGTTGTACTCTAAAATTTATAAGCTTTTTTTCAGGGTTTTGGAGCTTGATTTTTTTTTTTTTTTTTTTTTTAACAAATTGGAGGGGTTCTGAACTTTTAAGATGCATGGTGGGAGGCTGTCCCTCTCGGAGAGAGGTTGTCTGACATTCACTTTGGAACAGTTAATAATGTTGTACATGATTGAAGAGCACTCTCCTTGCCAGAATGGGCAAATTGATCAAATCTCTTCCCTGCAAATGTCTTCTTTTTATCTGGTTTCAATTTAGTGCTAGAGTAGGAAAATAAACTATAGCAAGCAATAAAATCAACACAATTTTCAAGTCTGATAGATTAATTGAATTTTATTCTTAACCACTAATACAAGGATAGTGTTAGGATAGTGATGGAATACTGTTTCCAAAATAATAATGAAAACTGGACAAAACTTGCTAAACTTGTAAGGCTGTATGATGTTAACACTGGATGGCAAGACCTTGCTATCTCCATGAAGTGGCTTTCCAAGTAGGTCAGGCTTTGCAGTCCACCTGAGGAAAATACCTTTTTTCCAAAAAATTCTGTCTTTCTACTTAGCACTGCCTTTTGATGCTACAGTGAACTAGCTTTAAATCTGGAACTCTAATTAAGGTACTTGCTTCATTCAAAGTAATTCCTTTGGTGTTGTGCACATTCCCCTTAAAGTACAGCAGATATCAAAAGTCTGTTAATTAACAAAGATGGTTGCAAGGCAAAATAAAATGCTCTGTAGTGTTTCTGGTTTGGAAATAACAAGACAAAGCTATTCTGAAGTACTTAACATTTGAATGTAAAAGCCAAATCTTTATCTGTGAGTCACTGTAAATTCTCTGATCTGATAATGTCAAACAGTATGTCTAAATTGATAGAAATGACATTTAAAAGTTTCAAAATAAATTTAAATTTTCATTTAAAGGATTTGCTTTTTATTTAAAGAACTCTTACTGGGAATGCATTTTTAGCCTGCAGGGGCAAAGTGATGAAGGCAGCAAAATGGGTGAGTTTAATTTCACTGTTGAACCTTGTGCAGAAGAGGGGAGGAAACACTTGAATGAGTTAATTTGTCTTAATCTTAAGATATTGATGACTCCTGCTTAATTTTATTACCTTTTCTTCCTCTCTGTACGTACTCATGCTGCTTAAATGATTTAAAGACATTTCCATTCCTGTTTAGGTTAACTGATCCATGTTTACAGTTCATGGATTACAACCATCCTTAATGCATGTCTGCAATCTCAAAGGGCCAAGTTGTGAGGGACCACTAAGTAAAATAATTTATCTGGATAGCATTTGGCTGAAGAATGTCTTAGTCTTCTAAACTAAAGGATGATTAATTTAGAAGCCATAGGTGTCCTGTTCTACAAATTAAAAAGCAGTAAGTATTCTTAAAATTGATTTTGGTGAAAAAAAGGGGTTTTTTTGTGTAAGTCATTCTAATAACGATAAACTTTTCTATGTGTAGCATAGACTGTCCTTTAAAGAGATGTCCTTTAAATGTTTTTCTGTAGCTTACTCTATACCGAGTATTCTAGAGTTTTAGCTGATGTCATGTCTTGTCCCCCCCGCCCAGGTCACCAGGTATTCATGCTTTCTCACCATCCTCACTGTTAACAGGGTTGGTTATTGAGATGATAGAACCTAACCTGTCTTATCAGGCAATAGAGAATCTTAAAATAATAACGGCTCAAAAATAGCAATAGTCTTTTGATGAAATAGTCCTTCCTGAATTTGTGGGCAACCACGAAAATGTCCGTTGCCTTATACTTGTTTTGGAAATGGCAGTAACTTCAGTGTGATTTATGTGTCTGAACCTGTTTGTATTGTGCCATAGTAAAAATGGATCATGCAGAAACTTTTCTAATTCATTATTTGGACCCAGTACAGAAATTCACTGAATCTTTAATTTCTGCACTTTATAGGGGTGTGTCGAGACTTGGTTTGTCTCTAGGATTCTAGAGACAAATTGGATTCTAGACTATTTTAACGCCTGCAGTCAAATAGTAGCTACTTTCCCTTTTATTCCCAGTGAGGCAAGGTAACTCCTAGCATGTTGAAATATAGACTAAAATAATGGGAAATACAGTTTTGTTAATGAAGCTGGCTAGAGAATAAAGTCTTTAAAGCACTTCTAACTTCAGTAACAGCATTACTAAGAATATGGCTGAATCTTACGCAAAGTACAAGTGAAGATTTTAAAGAGGTTTTAATCCATTTGGGGTAAAAACAGAAACTACAATAGCACTTGACAATGCTTTACTAATTCTAAAGTCTGCAATTTGTACAAATTCTGCTTGCTTCAAGTGCCGAAAGATGCTACATAGCCAGGCTTAGTAACCCAGCCCTTGTTGGTGCTAGTGGTTTTGTGTGTGTAAGACTGGATGGATGTTTGAAGACACCTGAACGATGAGTTTAACTTAGAAATACTTAAATTTTGATGAGCATCAAAATAATATAATCTGAAGAGGTGGTTAAGGTCTTAAAAAATACTTAGGTTTTTTATTACAAAAATTAATTCAAAATAGTTCTCTAAATCCCACGTTAATTAATTGAAGACTACACTTAATTATTTTTTCCCCCCTCCAGGAATAAGCTTGTATTAATGATACTAAATGTCTCATTTATAAACTGCAAACACCCCATTTTGCTGTATTTTAACACTGTAAATGATGAGTTTTTCCTGTGTAATAAGGTAGCTTGTATCAAACAATTCTCTGTGATACCAAAACTAAAAAAATTAAAATCTTTCTCAACACTATGCAGACATGAGAATGCTGTGAATCTTTATTATTTTTGATACAACATGTTCAAGAAATACCTGTATGGAAAGGGCAAAAATAAGAGTCTGAATAGTTCTGTCAATATGGTTACTAAATGACTTGGAACTTGTTTAATTTAAAAAATTGAAGGATTAAACTGAAAAATGAGGGATTCATTTATACGTATACCTTAATCACAGAAAGAACTGTGCTAGGGCTGTGCACAAGAGGAGGGGTGAGGTGTGCAGGTGTACCTACCATCTCTTTTCTCCCTTGGTACTCTGTGTAGATGTGTGGGGAAGTATGTGGTTCAGAAAGCATCCACTGCCTGAGCAGTACTTTCCTGCCCATGAAGGAGCACCTGAAGCCCAGTCACCTGTACCAGTTAGGAGCATGTTGTTCCCAGTTTGATCATCTGTCAGGTCCAGAAGGTGGATGCTGTGCTCTATGGCTAATGACGAGTCATGCTGAACAGGCTTCCCACAACAGAAATGCTGTGCCTTGTGCTGCTTCATCTCTCAATGCATTCCTTTGAATAACTTAATGAAAAAGCTTAATGTTATTAGAAACTTCTCTCTAAAGAGAAGACCACCTGATTCAGAGTTCAGAAAATTCAACTTGATACCTTAGTAATACTGAATTGCAACTATGTGTAGAAATGGAGACAGTGGGGAGATAACACTATAACACTTTTTAATCTTCTGTACAGAGTGTCATCAGCTTTCAGTGCCGAGTACTTAACCCAGTGGTGTGGTTATTTGAAACAAACCCAAACCCCTCTCTGATTAAGTCTCTGTAGCTGTCTTTATTTGTGCCCATCTGTTCCCAGTACACCTATCTGTTCAGGCTGGTCCAGTTTGTTTCTAGCAAGCTGTATTTTCCAAGCTGTTAATGACAAGCTAGTGTCTTAATTTTGATTAGCCAAACTAATTTCAAAGTGTTCTTAAATTGATTAGGTCTAGTCTATTTGTAAACTTGCACTAGTTTAGTGAAGTGAGGTGTGTATAAAAGATTTTTTTAAAAAAATTTTTGATTTTATGATGGCTTATGTAGGATTTACTTCAAAGATCTTCCTAATTAGACTTAACTAGAATTACTCCTTAAAATAGAAATAAGATGAATTACCAGTCTTTCACCAACCTTAACTAAGTCTTTGACAACGTATCATTTTCAGAGTCAGGAGATAATGAAAACTAACTGCAACAGATCAGGATTATTTTGCTTGATGAAGAAAAGTTTGAAGTAGTCAGCTGTAGAGCGGATTGTACATGTAAGTGATTTCTCAGTCTAGTTCATGTGAAAACAAGATGCTCTCTCAAGTAAGCAGCTTGTGTGATTATATAATAAGGAAATAATTCTTAAAGTTGTGGAAACTGACAAGCACAGGAGCAAA